TTGTATTATTTCCTTTTTTTTTTTTTTGAGACAGAGTCTCGCTTTGTTGCCCAGGCTAGAGTGAGTGCCGTGGCATCCTCAAACTCCTGGGCTCAAGAGATCCTCCTGCCTCAGCCTCCCGAGTAGCTGGGACTACAGGCATGTGCCACCATGCCCGGCTAAGTTTTTCTATATACTTTTAGTTGGCCAATTAATTTATTTCTATTTATAGTAGAGATGGGGTCTCGCTCTTGCTCAGGCTGGTTTCGAACTCCCAACCTTGAGCAATCCGCCCGCCTCGGCCTCCCAGAGTGCTAGGATTACAGGTGTGAGCCACCGTGCCCGGCTATTATTTCCATTTATTTGGAAATCAGTTTTGTTGGGAACCCAGAGGTCTTCCATAAATATTTGATTAAAAGATTCACACTTGGCCGGGTGCACTGGCTCACGCCTGTCATCCTAGCACTCTGGGAGGCCGAGGCGGGCGGATTGCTTGAGATCAGGAGTTCGAAACCAGCCTGAGCAAGAGCGAGACCCCCGTCTCTATTACAAATAGAAAGAAATTAATTGGCTAGCTAATATATAGAGAAAATTAGCCGGCATTGTGGGCGCATGCCTGTAGTTGTTGTTGTTGTTTTTCAGGCAGAGTCTCACTCTGTTGCCTGGGCTAGAGTGTCGTGGCGTCAGCCTCACTCACAGCAACCTCAAACTCCTGGGCTCAGGCGATCCTCCTGCCTCAGCCTCCCGAGTAGCTAGGACTACAGGCATGCGCCACCATGCCCAGCTAATTTATTCTATATATTTTTAGCTGGCCAATTAATTTCTTTCTATTTATAGTAGAGACAGGGTCTCACTCTTGCTCAGGCTGGTTTCGAACTCCTGACCTTGAGTGATCCACCCACCTCGGCCTCCCAGAGATCTGCAGTTTTATACCATCCAGCCATTTTTGTTTCTGGACTCTGTTTTAAGAAGATAAGACTATTAAGCAGGGTCTTATATCATTGAATCACTTAAATCATTATGCTATATCTGCATACTACATAGGAATATCACTCTTATTTTTCAGAGAATGCTAGAAACCAAGCTTGACTGATGAGCTTTTTATAGAAATCCTTTACACAGTTGAGTGGTTAAGCCTCGTTGAGTGCAGTACAAGATAAATCTTCCTCCTACAAGAATGTAAACTCCACAAGGACAAGGACTTTTTCTTCTTGCTGTATCCCCAGAGCTTAGCAGGGTAGCTGTCACAGACTAGGCGCTCAATAAATGTGTGCTGATTTAATAAAAAATCTTTAGATTGGATCATATATTTTTTTTGAAAGACAGGGTCTCACTGTCTTGCCTGGGCAGTATTGAGATCACAGCTCACTACAGCCTGGAACTCTTGGGCTCAAGGGACCCTCCCACCTCAGCCTCCCAAGTGGCCGGGACTCCAGGTGCATGCCATCATGCCTGGCTAATTTTTTTATTTTGTTGTAGAGATGGGATCTCACTATGTTTCCTAGGCTAGTCTCCAACTCCTGGGCTCAAGTGATCCTCCCACTTCAGCCTTCCAGAGAGCTGGGATTACAGGCGTGAGTCACAGCACCCGGCCTGAATCATTATTTAAAGTGATAATTGTTTATTTTCTTCATGTATACTTATTTATTAATTTGTTTTTAAATATGATACACATATTTAATGCATACAATTTGACAAATTCGGACATATGTATACATCTGTGAAACCACCACCATGATCAAGGTATTGATGATAGACATATCAATCACCTCCAAAAGTTTCTTTGAGTTCCTTTGTTTTTTCTTTTGTTGTTGTTGTTATTATTTTTGTGGTAAGAATGCTTAACATGAGATTTACCCTCAAATCTTTAAATGCATAATACAATATTGCTGACTATAAGCACTATACTATCCAATATATCTTTAGAATGTATTCATCTTGCATAACTGAAATTTGATACGAATCAAACATTTATCCCATTTTTCTCTCTGTCGATTTTTAAAAAATAGCTCAGTGGTAATTGGTCTATAAAATTAATATAGTACAATTACATTTACTTACATAAGGAGAAAAGCCGTTTTTACATTTACCCACGGATCCTTAAATAAATGGGAAAAAAATACAATCATGGATCAACTAAACCAAACTTTAGTCCTTCTGACAAATTCCTTTTTCTGGGGCCTATTCAGGAATTCCAAGTGGCGCTCACTACTTGATCTCTATAAACTGAAATCCCTTGACACGAGAAGAATAATAGAATCTTATTGAAAGAGAAGTAATGTGCTTTTAGAGGGGAAAATAGCTATTTATTTGGCCAAACTTGAGAAGTTTTTAGCATGGAATTATTTCTGTTCTTCAAAATACCATTGCTAAGAATTTTTGCATCGTAACTCTATCACTTAACTGCTCATTAATTTTCCTTTTGAAAGAATAAACAAGTTTTTAATGAAAGCTGTATATGTGATAATGGAGACAGACAAGGATAAAAGCTTGTCTATATGTCCTGTTTATTTCATGTCAATTTCTAGCAACTATAAAACAACTTGGTATAGAATCCAAGCTTGAACCCAAGCATCACTTCAGAAATAAGACAACGTGGCATATAAAATGAAAGAGAATAGGATTTAGTAAGGGCTTGTTGTGGCTAGCTCAGGGGGAAGCTCTTAGTTTTGTTACACAACCTCAGCAGGATCCCAGAACGTTTTCTAGTTTAGGGAGCAGGCTGTGTAGACCACAACTAGGAGAAAGGATTGAGGCAGACACCCAAAGTGACCTCACACCAATCAAGAGGGCTGTGTAAGTACAATAGAACTCAGCTTTAGTAAGTCCTATTATTACATGATTTTTGACATGGGTCAATAACAATTATATCCAGAAAATAATCTGGCTTTAAAAATATTAGGCTTTTGGGCCGGGCAACGGTGGTCTCATGCTGTAATCCTAGCATCTGCGGACGGCGAGGATGGGTGATTGTCGGGAGGTCAGGAGTTTGAAACCAGCCTGGCAAGAGTGGAGACCCCATCTCTACTATTAATAGAAAGAAATTATTGGCCAATAATACATATATAGAAAAAATTGGCGGGCATGGTGGCGCATGCTGTAGTCCCAGCTACTCGGAGGCTGAGGCAGGAGGATCTGCTTGAGCCCAGGAGTTGGAGTTGCGTGAGCTAGCCTGCGCCATCGGCACTCACTCTAACCTGGGCAACAAAGTGAGACTCTGTCTCAAAAAAAAAAAAAAAAAATTAGCTTTTAAGCTATTATGAGTAAGCCCTGTGGATTCTCAACTGTATCATCTTTATTTCCTTCAAGTATAATATTAGACAGATTTTATTATGTCTTAAGCTCAAGGCAAAGTTTACAATCCAGCTTCAGTGTGTCCATTCTTGCTGGCCTAACCCCTTCCTATCTGGGGGTTTCAAAATATTATGCATTATAGGCCAGGATGTGATTACTAGATTAAATTACTACTATATTTGAGCTTTATATTGTTTTCCTTGTTAAGTGAGAACCACTTGGCTATGTGAAATATACAAGCAACATCCAAATCAAGACCTTTTTTCCATTAATCTAAAGTCTCATAGATATTTTAACTAAAGTCCTACATTCTTTTAAAATTGTCTATATTTCACTGGAAGCCATGAACAGAGTAAAAACTTTGCCTTAATTAATTTCCCCTTACACCATGAGAAACACAAATAATTAACACTAATTAAGAGAAAATTTTTCCTAGTGAGATTATAAGTAGTAATCTTACCTGATTACAAGGCAACAACTTGGCAAATAGATGATGAGGCCACAGTAATGGATTCAATTGTAACGAATGGGTGGGCACCGTGGCTCACGCCTGCAATCCCAGCACCTTGGGAGGCTAAAGCAGGAGGATAGCTTGAGGCCAGGAGTCTGAGGCCAGCCTGGGCAACATTGCAAGACTCCGTCTCTACAGAAAATAAAAAATAAAAAAATTGCTGGGGGTGGTAGCACACACCTGTTAAAAAAAAAAAAAGTTACATAGCTCTGGGAGAGGGCTAGGCTATCATAAAATCATACAGTTGCTTTTGAATCTCAATTCCCATTTGCTTACATTGGGGAATAAGTGATCAAGGTTTTCTTTTGACAGTTGTATGGTATATTGCTGAATAGGTTGAAATCATCTATTAGCAATGTTGTCTGAAGTTAAGATCATCGTCAACATCATGAAACACACGACTAAACTCTCCGAGAACACAGTTCCACCCTGCAATTTGAAAAAGGCCTTTGAAGATGTCCACGGCTTTGGCAGCGTTCCAGAACCAATGGATCAGAGTGATCCAGCTGAATATAGAACACTGCAGCCCTGAGGATTTGTGGAACCCAGGATTCCGTCTGGAACAGATTGAATGTGTGGGTGACTCTGGTGGACCCCGCCTTCCAGTGGGAGACAGTGGCCAAGATCTCTTTAGAAAGGAGCTGTGAGTCTAAAAACAACCAAAGTACATAAAATAAATAGTTTCTAAAGTATACAAATATTAACACTATTTTCTTTAGTTTTTTTCTTCACATACTTTGAGGCAAAGTTTATAACACATAATTAATCACACATTTTAATGTGTTAGCTGGTCGCCAATATTTCAAAAGCTAAGATGGATTTAGTTCAGTTATTTTTGGTTAGCTCTTTCTTTGCTCCTAGGATAGAGAAAAACAATGGATATCTCCAGTTGATATGTGCTTGGTGAACAGAATAGGGACCAGTAGGAACATAGGAAAATAAATGGCAGGAAGCACTTCATTAAACTATCTGGATATCTAAAGGTGCTGAAGGTTTATTCATTCATTCAAATAATATTTATTGAGCACCTGCTCTATGACAGGCACTGTTTTAGGGATGTGACTGCAGTAATTTAAAAAACAGTCCACCCTGTAGTCCCAGCTACTCAGGAGGATGAAGTGGGAGGATTGCTTGAGCCCAAAAGTTCAAATCCGGCATGGGTAACATAGTGAGATGGTGTCTCTTAAAAGTAAAAATTAAAATTAAAAAGTCTTTGCACTTAGGGAGTTAATGTTTTGATGTGTCTCACAGGCAATCAGATACATACATACCTTATTTTCAAGTGGTGATAAATGCTATAAAGGTTGATAAAGTCTGGGCCCAATGGCGTGAGCTTGAGGCCAGGAATTTGAGACCAGCCTGAGCAACACAGTGAGACCCTTGTCTCTACAAAAACACAAAAAAGTTAGCCAGGTGTGGTGGCATACACCTGTAGTCCCAGCTACTCGGGTGGCTGAGGTGGGAGAATCTCTTGAGCCCAGGAGTTCAAGGTTACAGTGAGCTATGATCAGGCCACTGTATTCCAGCCTGGGTGACAGAGCCAGACCCTGTCTCTAAACAACAACAATAACACCACCAGAACTGATAAGAGCAGGGGAAGAGGATCATGAATAAAGGTGTGATATGATAAGGTAACATTTGAGGGTAACAGCTTTTTGAGGAGGTGACATTTAAACAGGCTACTGAGTGATACAGAAGAGTGAGTTACACAAATACCCGAGGAAGAGCATTTCAGATAGATTAAAAGCAATAAAACCAAAAACAACAACAACAACAAAAAACAGCCAAAAAATATCTTGAGAAGGAAATACATTGAGTCTGTTTTTAGCATAACAAGGAGGCACATTTTGCTGGGGTAAAATGAACTAGCAAGGGAGAAGTTGGAAGTCAGAGAAGGCCAGATGGTGGCAGGCCTTGTAGGCTACAGAAAGCCTTTGAATTTCATTGTAGTGTGATGGAAAGTCATTAGATGGTTTTTAACAGGGGTAAGACATAATTTCACAGACACAGACTTTAAAACATAAAATGGATCAGGTGAGAACATTACAGGATGGTGCAAATCCAGTGTGTAGTGGAGAAATTAGGAAAATTTGGTGAATACTGCAAATATTTGGGGAGTGGATTGAAAAAGATTTATTAATGGCTTAAGAATGGAGTAAAAGGTGTTTTTTTTGTTTTTTTGTTTTTTTTTGGAGACAGAGTCTTACTCTGTCACCTGGGCTAGAGTGCCATGGTGTTAGCCCTAGCTCACAGCAACCTCAAATTCCTGTGCTCAGGCGATCCTCCTGCCTCAGCCTCCCGAGTAGCTGGGACTACAGGCATGCGTCACCATGCCCGGCTAATTTTTTCTATATATTTTTAGTTGTCCAGCTAATTTCTTCTATTTTTTTTCAGTAGAGAACGGTTCTTGCTCTGCGTCAGGCTTGGTCTCAGAACTCCTGACCTCAAGTTCGCAGAACCTCCTAGTCTCCGCCGTTCCGTGAAAAGTGCTATCAGTCCAATGAAACAGAGCGTTGTAGGACAGAGCGCTGGACTTTAAGAGTGATTAGACATGAGCCTGCATATTGCTCCGTCCATAAGTTTTTTATAAGAAATAGGAATGAATCAGGAAGTGCGCGTGAGTACATTTTTGCTGTCTTGGCGGAGTGAGTATTATTGAATGGTTATGCCTAATATGGATACTCCATTCGATAACCGACGAATCATTCGCTCTAAGGTCTCACACATGCCGCCAACTTGAGTAACACGAAGATGGATTAAAATGCGCGAGCCAGATCAGAAGTGGTTGCTTTGAACATGAATAAATACCCTACCCTTTGGAATGATCAATACTTCCAAGTCATCTAGATAACTATAATAAAGACTAATCTTCTCTGTCATATTCGTTATGATATGATACAGCTACCAAAGATCTTACACAGATTTTTTACATAATACAGGAGACGCACCAAAAACAGACTCACGTTTGAGCCGCGTATCTTCCCTTTACACATTATCACCTGGTCCATTATGGTATACGAGATGGAGTGGCTTGCAACCACGAAATCGTGGAAGGGTATAAGCATGCAACTGGAAAGAGTATACTTTATTTCATTTATTGGACACCTTTATTGTGCGTGTTCTTCTATGCTATGAAGCGTCTTGTCCTCGTGTCTTGTTTGCAACTCAAACAACTGTCTGTATGGAGGCCAGACACATGAATACTGCGACTGAACCCTAATCGGATGAAAGTATGGTAAGTCATGACGGGAGTAACAAATGATCTGTGTTTTT